TCGGTATGTATACCAAGCGAATGATCTGTAGAAATTCGGCGTATATCCTTGCCTAGCCGGTAGCAAGGTTGGAAGGAAGGGGGGTTTGGTATTAGGCCAACAACCCCAACCTCTGAAAGAAGACACCAGCACTACTGAGACTTGGAATGCAAGGAATGGGAAAAATATGAAGATGGGCAAGACTAGTGGACTGATAAATAATGTGACAACAGTAATATACTAATTGCAAAGTATTTTAAATGTACAATGTAAACTAGTATTCGTAGGAGCACCTCACCTTTTAAACGGATTTCGAAGGACTACTTATTAGTTTAATATGTAAGTAACAACAGAAACCTTAAGTGAAAGAACGGTTACCATGACAAACCTCATAGCTTTTGTTCTTAGAGTTAAATTTATTGCCTGTTAACTGAGCAGTTTTGTTCAAAGGATTACTTTTTGTCAAACAAATTGCTTAGTAGTAATCAAGTCATGCTGCAAACAGTATTTCTAGTTCCTTGGTGCATCACGTAAAGAATTTCCAACAACTTGCTGCAGACTTTCCTCAACAGCCGCTTTTGCTGGCTAGATACCAAAGGTCAGCCAGAAAGGATAAGAAAGCAACAAGGAATTCTGATAAGGAACCAAGCAAAAACCCTTTTTTATTATTCCTTTACGTTCCCAGTGGAACATAGGGTTTCAAGCTAGAGGCTTGAAGTTTCGGTAGCAGTGGTGTTTACTATTTACGGGATGAGGTTGCTAGCCTCATGCCCAACGTTCCCTCTTTACCAATCTTATTACTGGCTTGGCGAGGTAAAGGAGTGCTTCTGTGGCTAGGAATCGAAACCCGGAGCACATGAGGTGTGGACGGCGAGCATTCGACCATTGTGCTACCGACTCAAGCAAGAACGTATTGGTCAAGAAATACGCAGAAAAAAGTGGTAGTAGAGTGAAATGACGCTCCATGCTCTCGAGTGGAGTTAGGATAAGCAAAGATGAGTTGAGTGTCCAAGGGTCACATAAAAGAGACTATTCGGGGAGAAAAAAGAGGCTTATGGACAATCATGGAGTCAGCTAAAAAGGATTACAGAAAACCGAGTGAAATGAAGCTGTGCTGATGAAGTCCCATCTTCCAGTCAGAGCCCGAAAGAATAAATAATCAGTAAAATAAACTTGTGATTACAATTGTACACATAAAACAGATAAAAACATCAAACCAAACAGGTTTTCCAAGAAAAAAAATCCATTCATCATTTCTTGAAATTCATTAGAACGTTATTATCCTCCAAGGTAATACCTATCTGACTACTGAAACCCCATCTGTACGAATTCATTTGGTAACTGTGTTTTGGACAACGAGGGAAAAAAGTATACATTTATAGAATGTACTAAATAGGAGAAATTGTTCCCGATTTTTATGGTCTATTTGCTCCAGTTACAAACTAATCTAGGCCATAATTTACGTAGTACACTGTGCATTTGTTTACGAAATGCACCTAGATGAACGGCTGTATATAATGATCTGAATAAATTCAATATTTGCTTAAAATTAGAAAGAGAAACAGGCATTTGATAAGGTGGATGTTTACATCAACTGACAATGTTATGGTTATTATATGTTTTTTCACAAATTGGTTCAAAAAAGCTGACTCCTCGGAAATGATATCAGCAGAAGTATATAGCAATTTATTTTCAGTAATTTCTCCTCTTCAGGTTCTTACAATCATAAAATATAATATTTATTGTCGTTACAATAATGGCCAGTTATGCAGCGGATGCATTTTTTAACATAGAATAACAGATTAATTATGGAGTGTGTAAATAAATAATCATATTTGTGTGACAAACGTGCTAGTCGGCTGAAATTGATTACAAAATTTTGTGAAATTGGAGACAGTGGTGGTGATTAGTCGTCATAATAGATTCGTAGAACGTGGGGGTAAGCAACATCTGCACAACTGTTTCTATTCTTCACTATCTGACCAATGTTCATCCAGAAAGTCAAAGATGTCTTGCCTAACCTTAGCTCTTCTTCATGTACATACCATTCAAACTGTTCCGGTGGCATACAATTAGACAGGTTCGTCTACGGGTTCGAGAACATTTAACAGCTTAGTTCAGTTAGGTGGAAAATAAATGCATAAAAAGTTCTGTTCTGTCACACTTGGTCGATATTGGAAATCAAATCGATGCCAACACAGACTTCAGGGCTATGTACCAAATTCCGAAGTCATTATCACGTGCAGTTCGCTTACATCTTCTACACATAGCTGAAGCTGTTGCAATAAGGTCGACTAAACTGTATCCAAAGGCTGTTCCAACAGTAGCCAAACTTGAATTGAAGTTTCTTCCTCTTTTCAACGGCGCCTATTGCCCTTATCCCTCTTGGTTTTTTTCCTTTGCTTTCCTTACTATTACAATTATTATTATATGTCATAATTTATGCCCTTCATGCAAACATTCTCTCAATACTATCGGATTTTCCATTAATACTATCCGGACTTCTTATTAGTAATATTATCTCTGATATTATATCTTTTCTCAATATATGCCTCCATCTGTTTCATTTCACACATTCGCTATTTCATGATGAACCTCTCATTGAAGTCTTACTATCTCCTGTTCAATATAGACCAATTTGTACTAGCCAATCACTCACTCACTCACCTTGTGGTGAGAGCAGGCCGTGAGAAAATATGAGCAAGGCTGATTCAACAACCAATCACAGCAAAGTTAACGTGGCAAAATATGATTCGCAGATAGAGAACTCTATTTGTCGAGGAATCCTGAAACAACCAATCAGAAGCCTGCGTTTGTCTGCCTAACTTCTGATAAACAACCAATCAGATGACTGCGCTTGTCTACTTGCATAAGCTATAGTAATGTATGTGAAATATGTATAAATACGTGTTGATTTTCATAATAAAACGATCTGTTGCCTGGCCCTTGTCTTCTGTTGTTACAACCTGACACCTGTCATAACGTTGAACTGACTTGTCAGTTTTCTTACCCCACACTCTACAAATCTCTTATGACTAATTAACACCATTGTCTCACATTTCACAATATTTTGTAATCGATTTTGGCCTAGCGTGTTAGTCACACGAAGACTATTTATTTTCACACCCCATAACTAGTCTGTTATTCTATGTTAAAAAATGCATCCGCCGCATAACTGGCCATTATTGTAACGACAATAAATATTATATTTTATAATTGTAGGAACCTGAAGAGAAATTATTGAAAAGAATATTCTTCGTTCAAACTGACTTTTAATCGATGATATATATTAAATCATACAAAGCATGGTCTTGTTTAAATAGATTTCAATAATTTTCAGTCAGATTCCTTCTCCTTTAGTGGTTATTCATATTTGTTACAATAAATACAGTGTTACAAGAAGCATTTGAAACAAGGAAATTACATTATTTTGTATATGTCTCAAACCAAGTTCTGATTTAATATATAAGGATAAAACTTGGGCACTGTAGTAGAGTATAATTCCATTATGGATTAAAATTCTTATTGGACAAAATGGATCAAATTCTATTGGCTATTAGATAAAACATTTTCTTTAGTTACGTAATCTACTTTTTTGTTATGCCCTGCCTAGCTAAACCTTGTTTCTATATATATATATATATATATATATATATATATATATATATATATATATATATATATATATATATACGCAACTCTGTTTTTTGTTTCCAAGCCTAATTGTCTAATTATTCTATAAATAGTCAGTGTTTATAACTCTTAATTAATTAAATCATTCCGGACTAATGTTACTTTTACTTCCTACCAATTACACCTTGTGATCGTGGAAAAGTATGTTCAAATCTTTAATGCAATGTAATGTAAAATGGACTGACAAAAAAGAACTTGGAAGATCTGGACTTCGCCGATGATATATGCAAGTGAAAAGCAACAAGCTGGCACAAGAAGCATCAAAGATAGGACTACACGTGAACATAGATAAAACAGAGGTGATGAAGATTCCTGGCCAACACCAATGGAAACAACAACAACAACAGACAACAATCAGCCAGCATAAATGGGAGGAACCTGAAAGAAACAACCTCCTTAACCCACCTACCCGGGAAGCATCGTTTCAACTACAGGCGGAAGGAACTGACGAGGATATCAAAGCAACAATCGGAAAAGCAAGACAAGCTTTCATTACTCTCAAGTCTGTATGGAGGTCAACAGTACTCAATATCAAAAATTATTATTATTGTTATTATTACTGCTCTCTTGGGTTCCTAGTGGAAAATAGGGCTTCAGCTTCACGTCTCCATTTGCTTCTGTCTTCTGCTGTACTTTTCGCCTGCATCCATGTTAGTCCATATTCTTTCAACTCCTCTTCACACGATCTCCTCCATGTCACCCTTGGACGTCCCACACGCCGCTTCCCTTTCGGGTTCCACTCGAGGGCTTGACGCGCGATGTCACCCAGCGGTCTCCTCAGCGAGTGTCCGATCCATCTCCACTTTCTCCTGCATATTTGTTGGTTGGCGATTGGTTCTTGTTTTGTTTGTTCCCATAATTCCTTGTTGGTGATTCTTTCCGCCCGGCCATCTGATCTTCAGTATAGAGCGAAGACAGTTGTGTTGATAAAGGTCTGCAACAGGCTGTTGGAAATATTCTTTGTGACCCGCCCGCCAAGTTTCTGATCCGTATAGAAGAACTGACTTTACGTTTGTATTGAAAATCCGAATTTTGTTGGTGATGCTGAGTGACGAAGATTTCCAGATTGATTTCAGGTTGATGAATGTGTTTCTCGCCTTCCCGATTCTCGATTTGACATCCTCGTCCGCTCCTCCTGTAGTTGAGACAATGCTCCCTAGATAAGTGAATGAATGAAGTAACCTCTTTCAAATCCCTCCCGTTGATGGTGATTGACGTTGGATGTTGTTGCTGTTGTTGGTTGGTTATTTTCATAACCTCCGTCTTGTCTATGTTTACCTGGAGTCCTGTCTTGCCGGCTGCTTCTTCGACCAGTTTGTCGGTTTTCGCTTGTAAGTCTTCGATTGTGTGTGACATCAAACATAAATCATCCACGCGCGAAATCCAGGTCTTCTAGGTTCTTCACGTCGGTCCAGGATATTCCTGTCTTCTCGTTTCCCACTGTCTGTCTGTCCACCACAATTAGGAATATCATTGGTGATAGTAAGCACCCTTGTCTGACTCCTGTGTTTACTCCAAACGCCTCGCTGAGTTTTCCGTTGTGGATCACTTGACATGTGCCGCTGAATAAGGTTGATGAATATTTGGGGTACGCCATAGTACTCGAGTAATTTCCAAATTACTTCACGGTCAACGCTGTCGAAGGCCTTCTCAAAGTCTATAAAGTTGAGGTAGAGGTTTGATTGCCATTCCATGCTTTGTTCTGTGATGATGATGCGTAGAGTTGCAATTTGGTCAGTACATGATTTGCCTTTCCTGAATCCAGCTTGTTCTGGTCGGAGTTCTGTCTCCAGTGCGTCCTTTAATCTCTCCAGGATGATGCGACTCAGGATTTTACTTGGCGTCGACAGGAGCATGATTCCTCGCCAGTTCTTGCAGAGTGAGGCTAAGTCGCCCTTCTTTGGTAGTTTCACGAGGTAACCTTTCCTCCAGTCAGTAGGCACCTTTCCCTCCTTCCAGACCTTTTGCAATAATGGAGTCAGCATGTCTGTTGTAGTCTCTGGGTCCGCTTTCAGAAGTTTGATTGCGTTCAAGACTTCAGCTCTCGTTGGAGGATTGGTGTCAACTTGCAGTTGTGTGCGCGCTGTTGTTGGTATTTCTGGACGGGTTGCAGGTGATGGTCGGTTCAACAGTCCTTTGAAGTGATCCACCCATTGTTTAATCTGTTTTTCTTCCTTGGTAATTGGGTTCCCTTGGCTGTCTTTTATAGGTTTCGCTTGTGTTGATCTCTTCCCGGATAGAGATTTGGTTATCTGATATAGTGTCCTCAGGTCCCTTTTGTCTGATGCCTTCTCAGCTTCAGTGGCAAGGTTGTCGTAGAATCGTCTTTTGTCCTTCCTAGCACTATTCTTCACTTCTTTGTCCAGTGCTTTGTAAGTTGAGCTCAGCGTCTCCTTCTCCTGTCCGTCCTTGCATTGAATCATTTTCTCTCTCACCATTCTCCTCTCTTCTATTGATTTCCAAGTGTTCGTTGAGAGCCATTTATTGTCTTGTCTCTTCTTTCTTCCCAGAACCGTTGAACACGTTTCGTTGAGAATCGCCTTCAGAGACTTCCAATGTTCTTCCACGCATGATTACTCAGTGATGTCGCGTAGCGTTTCCTGCTTTGCTCTGACAGTTGCAGTGAAAGTGTCTTTTGTGGCTGTGTCCTTCAGTAATCGAGGGTTGAACTTGAATTGTGGCCTGCCACCAGCTATCCTCGAGGCTTTTAGCTTCACCCAGAAAGTCCCTTGTACTAGATAGTGGTCTGAACCCACATCTGCTCCTCTCCTCGACCTTGTGTCCTGTAGGCTCCATCTCCACTTTCTTGAAATTGAGATGAAGTCTATTTGGTTCTTGGTGTTTCCATCTGGTGAAATCCATGTCGTCTTGTGTACATCGAAAATAAGATCCGGATTTTCAACTCCAATGTGAAGTCAGTCAGTGCTACTTACCATACGGATCAGAGACTCGGCCAGCGCTTCATAAAGAGCATCTCAAACAAACTACAGACCTTCATTAACAGTTGTCTTCGCTCAATACCTCACTCAAGATCAGATAGCCGGCCACAAAAGATCAGCAACAAAGATCTCTGGAAATGAGCGAACCAACTCAGCAGGAACCGATTGTGAAACAAATAGGCAGGAAGAAATGGAGATGGATTGGCTGGCCAAACTCTGAGGAAACCATCAAGTGACATCACTAGACAAGCTATTGCTCGAGTGGAACCCGAAAGGGAAGCGGCGAGTTGGTCGTCATTGCAAGGGTGACATAGTGGAAGTCATGTGAAGAGGAGATGAAAGCGTGTGGGTAGACTTGGAGCGGAGTGAAAAAGTTGACAGAAAACCGAAGGCAATGGAGACGCGCGGCTGGAGCCCTATGTTCCTCTAGGAATTAAAGGATATAATAATAATATAATATATTTTATCGTTCAGGTTGTAACCAGTTGAGAAGAATCCTCGAAATAATAAAAGATGAGCTTATATTATCCTGGTACAATTATCGTTCCTGCTTTGTTCAAGTTTATAAATGGGAAGAATTGCATGAAATTTTTAAAATTCTTATTTTGATAAAGTCTCACACTGTGTTATACATTGTGTAATATTTACTGCTGACGACGCTTCAAGCATAAATTATTGCTGCTCATATCAAGTCATTCACACCACTTTCTTACTTCATTTATACGCATATGAGTGAAATTGATTAGACATTTGATTAAAATCCATATAAGATAAAGTACATCCGGAAATAATATGAGTGTTATCAATCAAGTACAATAAGATGGGAAATAAGACGTTTTTATAGTAAAATAAATAAGTTACTTGCTAGAATGTTATGATGTACGTGAATTGAAATAGAATTTTAAGATTATATATTATCCTCCTATGATTTGACTGGTGTTGATAATATCTTTTATATCTCTGATATTTGCGTTGAGTCACTTCTGTTGCACGCGTTGGATGTAGACTAAATGAACAAGGATTCAGAAATCAATCTCACTCTCTCCACCCACCTACCTATATTACTTTTTAGAATTTTGACTCTATCCCATCCTATTGTTTGGTTGTGTGTTAATACATGCAGTGATATTGCTAGTTCCCGTCTTATTGTAATTCATAGATAACATTAATAGTATTTCTGAATGTACTTTTGTGGTGAGAGTGTGGTGAGAGCAGGCCGTGAGAAAATATGAGCAAGGCTGATTCAACAACCAATCACAGCAAAGTTAACGTGGCAAAATATGATTCGCAGATAGAGAACTCTATTTGTCGAGGAATCCTGAAACAACCAATCAGAAGCCTGCGTTTGTCTGCCTAACTTCTGATAAACAACCAATCAGATGACTGCGCTTGTCTATAATAATGTAGTTGAAATATGTATAAATACGTGTTGATTTTCATAATAAAACGATCTGTTGCCTGGCCCTTGTCTTCTGTTGTTACACTTTATCTTATACTAATTTTATTCAAATGTCTAATCAGTTTTACTCATGTGTATGAATGAAGTATGAAGGTTGTGTGGTGTGAGTGACTTGATATGAGATTATTAGCGGCAGTAATCTGTGCTGGAAACATGGTCATCAGTACAACACTGTGTGATTTTATCAAAATAAAATTTTATCCATGATGGGCACCAATTCCAGCTTCTGACAGTTCATGACATAGCACAACCACTTCGTATTGCCTTCTTCGACGAGTATCTTTCCTCCCCTTCGACCTGTTTTACCTTACTGGTCACGGCTACTTACTATAACCCCAGGTTAACTGACTGAATAGGGCCAGTCGCTAGTGAGTAAGTATCAGATTAATTTTCAAGTATTTTAGTTCGATTGGCTGAAGGATTTCAGCATGAGCTGACATCAGTAAACAGGATATCTTATTTTCTGTAAACATGAGATACATTTCTGTTTAATATGTAATGGTGTTTTAGCGTTAGAATCCAAAATGCTTAAACTGTATTGCTTTTTCTAACTCCCTAAATCGATCAATTATTCGCTGGGATGGTTGAGATCTTCAATAGGTTAAAGAACTAAGAGAAATTAAATTAGCTATTTTCTTCACTAGTCAGTTAGCACAGCTGTGTTTAAGGTATTTATAAACTGAAAGGTATCAGTTTCCTGTTGTGTTTTGTTAATGGATTAGTATTAAAATAAAAACAAGAAATTTTACTTTAAATGTAACTGTGTAGAATGTGGCACTTTGTTGAGAAATTCGGTGAACACAACAACTAACTTTTTGAATATTGCTGTCATGCTCTTAGTGATCTGAATTATCCGGTTAGAGGTAAAAGGCTATTCAGAAAAATTACTCATCCTTCTTTCTAAGATACGCCAAAAAGGTATGTTCATGACGTTTAAGATGGTCTTAGTATCTTGAAGATTTGAATGCACAGAAACCTGTACTGACGCCAATGACTTTCCAATCTTAAATTAAACTTTCAGTTTTCAAATTAATTTGCAATCTACACAGTTTGAGGAGGTAAAATTTCAACAGTTTTCTTTGTATAATTGAATTTTAGATTTTCCCATCGATTGATTGAACTGAAGTGCTTCATCTCAGGTTAACATATCGGCTTCTTGTGCAGATGCTTCGACGATGTCTGGGCATGTAGTTAGAATTGAATTGGTGGATGAAATCCAGGATGCGCATTTCGTCCTATTTGGGACTCGTCATCTGGATGTACCTACATTACCCAGTGAGTGATGTTTCCACCGAGGCACAAACCCAAAGCCCATAGTTTCAAACGCCAAAGCGTTATCCACTAGACCACTTGGGCTGGTTAACGCATCCTGAATTCACCATCCACCCATTAAGTTTTCTTTGTAAGCTAAAATTACTCAGATCAAAGTGTGTCAACTGCTTGATACTATAAATGATAATCTACAGACCAAGCATAACTACGTGATGTTGTATACTACTGATCGGTTGAGAACTGAGTTGAGTTGTATACTACTCACATTAGTGAGTAGTGTTTGCTGGCCAAATTATCGAAGTAATCTAAATACCTAACATCCGTTTCAATCATTTTGGGCTGAGCTCGCCAGCAGTGAGTCTGGCCATCCGGTTGACTTGAGTGTCATACGACCATTCACCAATCAATTAGTAGTACATAGTTTTACCTATCCGTCTATCTAGTTAGATACGAATACGCATTTAGACATAATGATGGTATTATAAAACTTATGCGTTATTAAGTTTGTGACTTTTGTCTTTGCTAGTAGTATTATCATAAACAGAATACTGACAGTGATATCCTGTTTGTGTGTGTGGGTGGCACAGCTCACCAACCACGCCTCATGTGGTTTGGGGTTCGATTCCTGGCGACAGACGTACTCCTTTACCTCACCAAGCGGGTAATAAGACTGGTAAAGAGGAAAAATTGGGCATCAGGCTAGCAACTCCATCTCGTAAAAATAAATACCACTGTTATCGAAACTTCTAGGCTCTAGCTTGAAGTCCTATGTTCCACTGAGAACGTAAAGGAATTAATATATATATATATATATATATATCCATGGGTAGGACATAATCGATTGTCGAATTTAGGATATATACACCACCGAGTTAACCATTCTGATGATTTCGTCAATCCCATAACCGGTACTCATACTAATTCAACAGAGGGTTTCTGGGGAAGATTTAAAAAATAGGAAAAGAGCAATGAATGGCTCTCAAAACCAAGTCAGTTCTAGTCACCTGGATGAATACATTTACAGAAATTGATTTAATTTAAAAAAATGACACTCCTCATTACAATTGGGACATATTTTTATCCCATATTAGAGAAAATACTCTGTCTAATGTTTTTCACGCTTTTTTATGTAAATATATACGTAATATTTTGTGCAAAACTCCCTCATTTTTCTGATTGGCCGACTCAAGGTCACTCGTGCGTTCGCATCCCTTGGGACGCTATTGTAGAACTTTGCCCATAGACGACCCTTTACGTCAAATGAAGGTGTGACACTAGAAGACATCATGCTAGGAGTGCAGCTGTGCCTGAATTTCTATCATATTTAAGTTCCATAGGAAATTATGTAAATAAACTGAGGGGATATCCTCGATATTGGCATATATATATATATATATATTCATGGACAGAGGTGATACGATTTCAGAAATGCTAAAATATCTGCAAAAACAAAATCATGAATAGAATACAAAACAAAAAACTTACTTTGCTCACTATAACTATTCATCACGTAAGTGTTTTGAGCATAGTAGTCATTTTGTCCATATTGATTTGAAGGGACAGGTTTAACCCAGTTAATACTGTTACTATTTCTTTCAAAAGACGGACGAGTAAAATGCGTAGTGATGGTGGTGTTAGTATTATTATAACCACTATTCACAGGAGCATTCCACAGTTGAATTGGTTGAGTAGTCACCCATTGATTACTCGGTGAAATATTATAGCTTGTACGATTAGACTCATATGAATTGTGTTGTGTTTGGTTAACTTGTGGATTATGCGTAGGATGTATCACTGCGGTCATTGTTACTTGTTGTAGCTGCTGAGGTTTTACCTGACGATTTGGTTGATACGTTTGGCTGTTGAAATTTTGTCCATAAGTATTCGAAAATGAACCATTGTATCCAGGCGTGTTTATTACACGTGGTTCATTTGTAATCTGTCTTACTTTGACAACTGGACAACCTGTAGTCTCACTAATACTGAGCTGTTGTTCCAAAATACGTAATGATTTTGTTTGGATAGGACGAAATGAACGACCACGGGTTAGAGATCTTGTGGATAGCTTTCTTTGGTTAGTGCTTTCTGTATCAAATGAAGGTTGTTGACTGAATGATGAAGTAGCCATTACTTGAGGAGCTACCTGTGCCACTTTGTTTATATCTACTCCACGTCTGTGAGAAGAAAAGGCAAACAAAGGAACAATAGAATAAAGGTGTAGATTATTGACGTGTTTAAAACCAATGGAAAACGTGTTAATAAAGCAGAATTTAATGAATTCGTCAAATTTAGGTAGGATTCTTCAGCTGAATACTCTACACACAGCTATATATGTATATTTATACCATTAGAATTGCATTGGGAGATATAAGATTGATCAGCAAATAAACTACATAGAATAAATCATGCAAAACAACAGGTGTGAATGTTTTTCAGGTCATGTTCAGAAAGATAAGGGGAAAGGAGTGTGACAGATTAAAATTAACATGATAATAATGCGTTACGGTTAAGTTATACATCACAATTAATTTATAGAGAAAGAACCTGAATATATCAAGAATTGCAAACTGGGTAATATAGATAGTAACAGTAATGTAGGAATAATATTAATAGTAAAACGAATTAAGATAGTGGTACTGTTAAAGCATAGTTTTAAATAAATCAATGATAAT